TTTTTTCCCTATCTTCCACTGATTTATTATCTCAAAACTCTCTGCAATATATTTTACTTTTGTTGTTTTATATTGTGACTGCAGGGATTTCTTCTGGTCCCTTATCCTTTGAAACAAATAGACAATTTCATCTAAAGCATTACTTTCCACTTTGTTTCCTTCTAAAAGGATTGCCTTTTGCATACATGAGAATGTGCCTCCATCTTTTCATATGTGAAATAATTCTTTCCATGACTCCAAACTTCTGACATGGGGAATGTTACTCTAATTATTTCTAAGAGGTGTCTGCAAAAGTCAGCAAAACTTTGCTCTATAATACAAATGCTTGTATAATTAGTGTGTATTAACTCAGCCTTTCTTCCATTTTAAAAATTAAGATGGCTTAAATAGGATTCCCAAGGACTGAATAAATAGTGGTTTGAAAGGTGATGGGTGAAATGCAATACTGTACAAGTAGACTTCGGTGATGGGAATTTTTCTGTCTGCATCTCTTACATCTGCTTGGGAGGAATAGGGCTCCTGTAGTATAGATTTTTTTAGTGGGCATTTGTAGGAAGAGCAATTTAAATGGAAAATCTACCCTCCAAGTTCTGCTGAGGGAAACAGAACATTGGATTTTATCCAATTATTCTATTCTTTTAAATATTCCATATGTAAATATAGGTATAGTGATATGAGTAGAATTTTGAAATTAAAAATAAACTAAATTTAAGAATCTTTTTTTATGCAAAAATAGATACTCTTAAAAATATATCAGTTAAGATTCCACAATTATGAGCTTTAAAAAAGATAGTGATTTATAAATCCTTTCATTAACGTAGGTCAATAGTAATGGAAAATCAACATTTCCCACCATTTCTGGCAATTGACAAGCATAGCCAAAGATGTACAGTATAATAAAAAATAGAGGGATGGAATAAAGGAAGAAATTCCTTTTCCTTTATCTGTTAGGTAATGGCAGGCATATAAATTTGAGGCACTGTGTTGGAGACAGGTGAAAAAAAGGCTTAAGGCCTTCTATTTTTACTCCAGGCTGAATCAAAATATTTATTACATGTTGAAGTGAGTGTTACAAGTCTGCCCATATTCCTACTGGATATATTTAGAATCATCC